TGTCTGTGTCTGTGTCTGTCTGTCGTCTATCTGTCTCTGTCTATCTGTCTATCTATCTATCTATCTATTTTCTCTCTCTATCTGTCTATTTTTACCTTCCTCTATCTCGATTTTTTTTCTCTTCTCCCTCTTCCTTTGTTCCCCTTCCCTTTACCCTCTCCCACTTCCTCTCCGCTTTTCTCTAATTTCTTCTCACTCTCACTTTCTCTCGCTCTTTTCCTTCCTCCATCCTTTCCCTCCCTCCCATCCCTTTTCCCCCTTTCGTCTCCATCCTTTTCTCTCATTTTCCCTTTCCTTCTCCCTTATCGTCACCTTTACCCTTTCCATCTCCACTCCCTTTCCTTTTCACTTCCCCTCATCCTTACCCACCTCCTCCCCTTCTCTTCCTTCTTCCTCTGTTTCACCCTCTCCTTCCCCTCTTTTCTCCCTCACCCTTTCCCTTTCCCTCTCCCTCTCCCTCTCCCTTACTCTCACCCTTTCCATCTCCCTCTTCTTCATTCATCTCCCACTTTTTTAACCCGTCTCTCTCACCCTTACCCTCTCCCTTACCCTCACCCTCACCCATACCCTCACCCTCTCCCTCTCCCTCTCCCCCCCCCACCATCACTCTCTCCCTCACCCTCACCTCACCCATACCCCTCCCTCCCCCCCTCCATTACCCTCTCCCTCTCCCTCTCCCCCCCCCCACCATCCCTCTCCCTCACCCTCACCCTCACCCATACCCTCTCCATCTCCCTCTCCCCCCCCACCACCATCACCCTCTCCATCTCCCTCTCCCCCCCCCACCATATCCCTCACCCTTACCCACTCCTCACCCATACCCTCACCCTCTCCCCCCACCCCCACCATCACCCTCTCCCTCTCCATCTCCCTCCTTCGTTCCTCTCCTCCTACTTTTTAACCCCACCTTTATACCTCACGAAATACGACCGCGATGCCCCAATACCCAATGATACAGATTCCTCGCCTGGGTAACAATTTGGAAATGCAAGTTGCAAAATCACCCGGGCTCTTTATCAGGATTTCGGCTCATTAACTCGCGGGGAAATTAAATAACTGGGATTTAAACGAAGACAGGAAAAAAGAGGGAGAGAGAGATAAAGAGAGATAAAAGAGGGAATTCAACGATGGTGTCGGAATAAGAAATGGAAAATAACAGAAATAATATAAAAAAAACAATGATAGTGATAAAAGAAACAAGAGAATAATAATGATAATAATAATAATAATAATAATAATAATAACAATAATAATGATATCAGTTACAATAATGATAATAATAATGATGATGACAATAATACCAATAATGATTGATAATAATAATAATATAATAATAATAATAATGATAATAATAATAGTAGTAAGTAGTAGTAGTAATAACGACAATAATAATGATAATAGTAATAACAATAATAATGATAATGATAATAGTAATAATAATATTAATGACTGATGATGATGTCGATGATAATAACAATAATATAATGACAATAATGAAATAATCATAACAAAAAATAATGATAATGATGATAACATTGATATTAGTGACGATAATAATAGCAATTGTTATAATAACAATAATACCAATGATATGATAATAATGATACATCCAAAAATCCGGCAACCTCCAGACCTTTGTGCCGGATTTTCGAAAATGCCGCATTTCTGGTTATATAAGCTGTATGCATTTAAAAGAAAATAAATATGTGCATAGTCCTTTTAAAAACAAGAAACTCAAACACTAAATGAAAAGCAAATGTTAATGCTCACCAACCAAATAACATAGTCAAATAACGCCATCAAAACATAAATGGCAACTCCATAAAACAGTTGCGAACCAATGCGGTAAATCTTAAAATGCGCACTAAAATCAATGCCGGAAATCTGAAAGAACCGGATTATTGATGGCCGGATTTTATAATGTCAAGCTGTAATAGTATCAATAATAATGATGATAATAATAATAATAATAGAAATAATGCTAATAGTAATAATAATAATAAGGATAATAATAACAGTAATAGAAAAAAACAGATAATAATAATAATGGGAAGGCAAGAGGGCCTGACTTAATCCCAGGGGAAGTTTGGAAAGCCATAGAAGGGTAGACATCCTATACGACCTAATGGCAAAGATATTACAGCAAGAAAAGACACCGGGAGAGTGGCGGAAAATTATATTGATACCTATTTTCAAAGGTAAAGGTGATGTCTAAGAAGGTGTCCCACACCTTGAAAATATTGGAAAGAATTATTGATGGCAGACTAAGAGAGGAAGTAGATATAGGGAAAGAATTTATGAAAGGAAGCGGAACATCTGATGGTATATTTTGTCCTAGGCAGGTGATGGAAAAATTTCAGCAAGAAAAGCAAGATCTACATATGGTATTCAGAGACCTTGAAAAGGCCTATGACTGAGTACCAAGACTAAGAAATTTGAAGAAGCCTGAGAGAGAATGATAGAGATTTGGAGAAGCCAGAGAGAGATGATTCCTGAAAAGTATGTTAGAATGATACAAGAAATGTACAGGGTGAGAAGCAGTGTTGGAGAGACGGATGGCTTTGAGGTAAAAGTGGGACAACTTAGCTCGTTCATCTTCAACATCGTGATGGATGTGACGACCAGGAATGTAAGAGAGACAGTGTCATGGAGCATATTGTATGCTGATGACATTGCCTTGTGTGCAGAGAGGAGGGAGGATCTAGAGATAAATTTGGAAAAAAGGAGAACCGCATTGGAGGAATGAGGAATGAGAATAAGCAGGTCCAAAACTGAATATATGTGCACCAGCATTGATGAGTGAAGCATAAACACGGATGGAGAAGAGCTAAAGAGAGTACAGAAGTTCACGTACTTGGGGTCCATAGTGGATGCTTGTGGGAACATGGATGAAGAAGTGAAGCATCGAGTACAGGCGGGGTGGAACAACTGGAGGTCTGCCTCTAGGGTTCTCTGTGACAAGAAAGTACCTCTAAGACTGAAGGGAAAGTTTCATAGGGTAGTTATTAGACCAACCATGCCGTATGGAACAGAAACAGTAAATATGAAAGAGACAGAGGAGAAAAGGATGGATGTAACAGAAATGAGAATGTTGAGGTGGATGTGTAGGGTACAAAGAGAGGATAGGATTAGGAATGAGTACATAAGAGAGTCGACAATGGTGGTAGAAATATCAAAGAAAATACAGGACGGGAGACTGAGAAGGTACGGACACCTGCTGAGAGGGAGGAAGACCATGTTGGAAGACATACAATGGAGATGAAAGTTCAGGGTAGAAGGAGGAGGGAAGACCAAGAAATAGATGGCGAGACTGTGCAAGGGATGACCTGCAATTGAAAGGAATCACAGAGAAGGAAGCGCAAAATAGAGATCAGTGAAGGCGGCTCATCCAAAAAGGCGACCTCATATAGAAATGGGAGACAGCAAAGATAATAATAATGATATCAATGATGATAATAATAACGATAATAACAATGATATAATAACGAATAAATTAATAATAACAATAAAACAATAATGGTAATAATAATGATGATAACAATAATAGTAATTACAACAATAATACTGATAACAACAATGATAATAAACATAACAATAACCACAACCATACCAAATAAAAACAATGAGAATAGTAAACATGTAAATAACGAGAGGAAGACACAGGAGAGTGGAAGATGCCGAAAAGGGGGGGGGGGGAGGCAGGAGATGGAAACCCGGCATGCAAAATAGGCATCGTCTTCGACCTCATAATTTTCCGGCGAAGGGAAAGCGAAATGCCAATACAGCGGCCTTCCATAAATCAAAATCTACAGAGCAATCCACCAACCTGTTATTCCAGCGGATTTATCGAGTCCAATGAACTTCAAAATCTATATAAAAAAAAAAAAGTTTATCCCGAGAATTTTGTCCCGGTATAATATTATTGATAAGGATGTTGATAAAGATGAATGTTGATAAAAATGAATTTGAAGATATAAATAAATATTTCTGAGGGAGGAAAAAAAAAGTTAGTGATGGAACACCCACAGACTTGAATTTGTTCGTTGTGTGATTTCAAAGTTACAAAGTTATATCCGACACTTTGTGGGTCGGGAAAGTCCAATATGCTATGAATAGTGAGGGAGGGAGGATGAAAGGAGGGAGGAAGGAAGGAAGGAAGGGAGGAGGAAAGGGAGAGAGGGAGAGAACGAAGAGGAGGAGGAAGGAAGGTTACAAAGTTATATCCGACACTTTGTGGGTCGGGAAAGTCCAATGTGCTATGAATAGTGAGGGAGGGAGGGAGGAAAGGAAGGAAGGGAGGAGGAAGGAAGGGGAGGAAGGAAGAAGGGAGGGAGGAAAGGGAGAGAGGGAGAGAACGAAGAGGAGGAGGAAGGGAGGTTACCAAGTTATATCCGACACTTTGTGGGTCGGGAAAGTCCAATATGCTATGAATAGTGGAGGGAGGAGGAAAGGAGGGAAGGAGGAGGAAGGAAGGAAGGGAGGAGGAAAGGGACAGAGGGAGGAACGAAGAGGAGAAGGAAGGGAGGTTACAAAGTTATATCCGACACTTTGTGGGTCGGGAAAGTCCAATATGCTATGAATAGTGAGGGAGGGAGGGAGGAAAGGAGGGAGAAGGAAGGAAGGGAGGGAGGAAAGGGACAGAGGAGGGAACGAAGAAAAGGAAGGGAGGTTACAAAGTTATATCCGACACTGTGGGTCGGGAAAAAAGAGAGAGAGAGAGAGAGAGGAGAGAGAGAGAGAGAGAGAGAGAGAGAGAGAGAGAGAGAGAGAGAAGAGAAGAGAGAGAAGAGAGAGAGAAAGAGAGAAGAAGAGAGAAAGAGAGAAAGAGAGAAAGAGAGAAAGAGAAAGAGAGAGAGAGACAGAGAGACAAAGAAAGACAGAGGCATAAAGAGAAAAAAAGAGACAGAGGCAGAGAGAAAAAAAGAGACATAGAAAAAAAAGAAAGCTACAGACAGACAAACAAACAGAGCCAGACAGACAGACAAACTAAAAAAAAAAAAAAAAAAAAAAAAAAAAAAAAAACACTTTTCAACACACTAGTTAAAATGGCACCCAAAAAAAAGCAGAGCCAGCCACACACAGAACAGCAGAGAAAGACACACAGAACAGCAGAGACAGACACACACTACCATCACCCCGGGAGTACAAACCCCGTATTTTACGAGGCCTCCGCAGCGGGTGAGGTCTAGTTACAGAACCCCCAAAGCGCCGGGTTTCATATTAAGTGTTATGGAAAGCCTGGAACCAATTTACCGGAAGACATTAAATCCGAAATGAAACTCCCATCAAATTCCAGCGAAAAAAGAGAAGAGTTTGGTCCCTTAGAAATAAATTTTCAATGTAGTTGTATCAATCATTCTGCATATTGCTAGGGTATTTTTATATGCGAAAGTTGATGCTAACTGTGCATTTATTACTGCATTTGTATATATTTTCTCTCTATAATACTGAAGGTTTTATTTGGATGTTTTATGCGTTTTTTATTTATTATTATTATTTTTTTTTTTTTAGATGTTGATGGATTAATTGTTAAGCTATCAATGCGATAGATTAATTGTCAAATTATTCGTCAACAGAAATTCAGAAATGTGTATATTTTTGTCATTTATCTAAATAATGACACATGAAAGTAGATTTCTTTGAATTCCAATATAATGACATTTTTATAAATTATATTATGCTAATATTGATAATGATAACAATGAAGATGATTAAGATAAGGAGGATGAGACTGAGGATGATGATAATATTAATAATGATGG